CCATGTCGGGCACCGCCATCCCCCTGGCTCTCCTGCTGCTCAGCTACGGCCGCTGGCAGGTAATGCTCACCTCCTTATCCTCCTCCGTGTGCTTTCCAGCCCCGGGGTATAAGGCTGTGACAGACTTGATTTCTTTTGGGGGGGCGGGGGGGGAAGAGGGGCTGGGTTTGGGTAAAATGTGAGATTCGTGCGTTTTCTCCTTGCCTCCCTCTTTTTTTTTTTTATTTTTAATTTTTCTATGATCCAAGCGAGTGCTCAGGTAACAAGAACTGTTGTAATAATTCTGTCTTCTGAATGGAAGTTCTGCTGACTTTATAAATGGTTAGCTCAGTATGCATTAAAAGTCTGCTTTAACAATCTGTATTTTGTTCTTGTGAGGTTTTTTCAACTTATTTCTCGTAGGGTGCGTGCTTTGCACAAAGTTTGGATAGGCATCTGATGTTTTTACAGGCGTTTGGTTTTACTGACTGAGAATTTGGTGGAGAGCCAGGAACTAAAGGGCTTTTTGCTGATTCTTCTTTGCTTTGAGTCACTTTGTAGCTTAAGTCAGTTTGTAGTTTTAGCCTTTTCTTTAATGCTCTCTTTTAGTTTCATTACCAGTAAACTGGAAATTATTATTTCTGTTTTGAGGAGTACATATACTTTCAGATAGTTTTACAACTATTAATGTGCTAATAATTAGCAGGAACTGATAATCTCTGATCTTTTCAGCATCTTCATTCAGTAAAATCTTAAGATCTGCCTGTTGTGCTTTGAGTCAATAGATTAAGTTAAAATAACACAGTTCATCATCTGGATTACGCAAGCTGTGGCATGTGCTTCGGTGCTTGCTGTTAGCAGTATGGGCAACAGTAAGAACTCCAAAGAAAGCAAAACGTGTATTCAGCTCTTTAAATCACTGCACCAATTTCAGTAGTAAATGAGGGAGAAAGCTTTCCCAGGCAACAATGTTCAGTGTAGGGTTTTGAGGGCTTTGTGTGTAATGTTCAAGAGGTTATGCAGTAAGTCTACTCTTAAGCTGTTGATGTTTACAAATCCTTATTATAATACCTGCCTATTTTAAGTGAGATACATGTCTGGTAGCGAGAACTTTCTCTTTAAGCTTTATGCAGGGGCTGAACAGTTGCTGTTAACAATCACCAGTTGTCTGCTGTCATACTATGACACTTTGTGGCTTTATCTCAGAATATACTATGGGTGCCTGAAAGGGGAGAGAGTGAGTTGAAGGTTAGAGATTTTATTTGGCCTCTCTTTAACCAAAGTTTATGTGTCTACTTCTGCAAGGTGATACAGCGTGCCCCAAAGAAAGCTATTAGGGATTCATATTCTTCACTAGGACAGTGTGAAGTATCACTCTGCTAGAGTTGTGCAGGTGTCAGATAATGTCATGTTTTGTGGGTGTTTGAAAGAAATATTTGGAGTTCTGTCACTGAGTTGCTTAATCTTAAAATTGTTTTGTTTTGTTTTTTTAAATGACTGCAATCTGAGTATTTGATTATTACTTGTTAGTTGTGTGGGGCTGATGTCAGTTGAAGAATGAACTGGATTTCTATTTCTTTGCATGTGGGAAACCTCATTTAGTAGTATCAGTTGATTAGCTTTGCACAGATTGATGTCGTGTACAAAGGAGAACCTGACTTGATTGCTTTTATAGAGCCAGCAAGCTGACAATGTGTGAAATGGTATTTTTGCCAGTGAACCAAGTTCGATCTTCGGTTTGCCAACGCTGCAACTGCAGTCTGTGAAATACTGTGCTAATTGACTAAACATATTTATAATGAATGCATATTAAGAAATCATAAACATTCAGCCTTGTTATTACTCATTTAGAACCATGCTTAAGAAGTGAGGAAGCAAAGTGTTTGAGTCTTCATTTTAATTCCTTTTTCCTATGAAATGTGTGTGAATACAGATCTCTCTGAAACCAACTTCTACCATTTCAAAATGTTCATTTTAATTTAAAAATCAGAAGGGATATTCTTTTTATTTCCAAATATTAATGAAAGTTAACCTATGGCATGTTGAATATCTTTTGATTCACCTCTAAAGAGAGTTAAGGTTTAATCTAATGCTTCTTCTGTTCTCCATATTTTACTTGCTTTGAAAGGGAGTAGAAACTATATGACAACTTTTTGAAATGCTTTTCTGGAAATAGATGGGGTGCAAAAAGACTGACATCAGAACTTCTTGGAAAGCTATTAATGATAAAGGAGCTTGTAATAACTGATTTTTATTAAATTACACATATTTATCAGTAGATACAGATAGTTAGATTTAAACTTGTTGGCAAATGTTGGGGTACAGTCTTTCTATATATTCAGTATAAGCAAGCATTACACATACCCTGACTGTGATGAGTCCACATCTTAGGATTGTTTGTTCAGAAAAATCATAGTGGAGCAAGACTGACTGTGAATTTAAGCAGATACAGCTATAACTCACTGCAGTGACTTTTATTCTGGAATACAGGTAACTTTAATTGAGTTTGTCAGTTTGAAGTTTATATTAAACCAAAGAAAGCCACTCTTGCTCTAAAAGAGGTTATTCCAGTGAGAGCGGAATCACTTTCCTGTATAGCTTATTTGGAGTTTGCTTTCATTGGGCTATGACTTCCTAGTATTGTGTAATAGTGTCTATGTTTGATAGAAAAGAAATCTGAGTCTTTCCCTTGAACAACATAGATAACAGAGCAAATCTGCTCTTATTTTTCTAGGTATGGCCCAAATTGTCCATTTAAAACCAAAATTTTTAATTTCCAGTAGGTTTTCTTTAAACCTGTTGAATTAAGTTTGTGCTTTCCTAGTTTTCAATGCCTATCAGTAATCCTATTACAATTATTTTCCTTTCACATTGTATTCAAAAGGATTTTTGACTATACAGAGTAAAATGAAAATATTTGCTTATAAATGCAATTGTTCAAGTAAAATATTTTCAGAGATGATATATTTTAAAGATGGTTGTGACAAATTTTCACAATTAAAGGCTTTGCACATGGGGAATATTCAATGCAATTCCGTGGGGAATATTCAACTTCGTCCATTGTGGCATAATATTTTTCAATTTCTTCTTATATTATGAGAGCTTGCCTGAAACTTCTGATTCCACTTGTGTAATCTTTATATATTTATTTAATATTGTTAAATCTCAGCAGGGAAAACCACTTGTTTCAAAGACACTTCAGTAACTTTGAAATACAAAGCTCATGGCAAAGACTTATGAGAATTTAGGAGTGTTATAGATGTTGATATTTTTCTTTCCATCTTTGAATCTCTGATACCCTGAAAGAGGAGGACAAACACTTAAAAGACAGTGAGGTTATAGATCTTGATATGATGTAGGAAAAAGTATGTCTTTATCACTGCTTTCTTTGAAATATTGACAGTTTGAGCCGGGCTGGCTTATATAGTGTCCTGAGTGGGGAGGAAGGGATAGTGTGAACTGCTGATTATCTACAAAATCTCCAAAAGCCTCAGGCTGAGACTACTGGAAAAAGTCTTTTTTATATTTTCTTTGATTACTTTGAACTGCTGATTTCAAATAGATATCAACACATACTTTATTAGAAATGGTGCTTGAGTTAGGACGGTGCCTGAATGTGTCATAACCCTGCTGTTTTATTGGGGGGGGGCGGGGCGGAAATCAGTCAGGGAGACAGAAAATATGCTTTTCTTCCAGAGTTCTTCCAGGATGCAGCCTGGCTCGGGCAGTAGTTGTCCGGATTAGGAAGTGATGGGTTCGCACTCCTTCCTGAGCTCTGCATTAATGAGCTGAGTCAGGAACTGCTGACTCTCACTGTAGGCCATTGAACGAACTTCTTTAAGTTGATATTCAGCAGGAATAATTGATGAGTAGCTGGCCTCTGTAACTACATTAACCAGTGCTGTTTGAATGGGCTTATCTTCTGAAGCAGCTTAGGTCACTAAATATTGTCCTCCCTATGTACTTATCTGCCAATGTTTTATATGCAAATCCTATCATCAGTAACTGCCTTTCCACACCATTGATGATAATAGCGACCTTAATAAGCACTACTGCTAAACCCGCAGTAGAGTGTATTTATTCTGTAATGGTTTGTTTGACTGACACACATAAAAGTATTTTTCAGCTCTCATTTACTTAGTGCTCTCCTGACTCTCCGTAGCACCAATTGTGTAAGAATGTCATGTGGTACCGTGCAAACACCCTTCCAGAAATCTTCCATCCACACCATTACTCTTATCAACCAAAGCTGATGAATCTAATCAAATGAGATGGGTTTGACAGGATCTGTATTGGGATTTCAGAGAGATCTGCATTGTTTTGTGATTCTGGTTGGCCACTACTAAATATTACCTCTAGAATTGTCTGTCTGCTCTTTCATTTCAAAAAGCTAACTTCTCTCAGATCCCTACTGGGAATGGGGAATAATTGGTTATTGGGTTGGATGAATAGTCTAATCACAACATTGCTATAGTGAGAATTTTACAGAAAGTGGGCAAATCCTAGTTTTACGTGTCTGTCTTTGGTGAAAGGCTTGCATTATCATTAAGACTGATGTAATGATAAAACTGGAAGCTACACATAGGAGGCCATCTCTTACATACGAGGTCTGTGTGTAAGAGCAAGACTCCTTTCAGAAAGAGATGCCTCATCTCTGAGAGAAGCCCAAATGGATTTTGGCTGAAATATTACAATGTTGTGAAGAAATTTAGGCAAAGAGACGCATGCTTGTCTAACAGGTTTTCTTACATGTGTTTCTTAAAATAAACAATCAAACAAAAACTTTTCTGATATGAGAAGAGTAGCTGAAGGGGTGAAGAGTAGCTGAAAACCCAGAACTGCCCACACAATGAAGAGCTCTTGAGAAAGAGATGGGAATTTGGAGGGTTAGCAGCACTGTCCTTGTCTTGTGTATTTGAGTTGTAAGGTCTTCTTTTGTGGGCCATATTAATGCCTGTAGTTTATTTGTAAAGGAAGCTGGAAAAAGTTGTGTGGCCTGTTTGATTCAGATGCTCTTAAAAGTTTGAAAAGAGCATAGACAGTTCTTACAAATTCCATTGGGGAATCTCTGCTAGAGATA